ATAGACATGTTCATGAACCAGAAAAAAGAACAAAACCAGCTGTGCAAAGCCATGCAGTCAATTGTACTTTAGAATATGTTAATACTGAAAAGTTTTTGCAAAGTACCATGCAAGATATCCATCAGTATTGATGATGATTGCTATGGAAAGAGAATCTCAAGAGGATCAAAAATATTGTGAATTCTGTTGTTGTTTTTTTCTAAAGTGACTTAAAATACACCTCCCAGTTTCCATGGGTCAAGAAACCAAGGCTGGCATGACTGGGTCTTCCACTGAGTCTCACTGGGCACCCTTCCAGGTGTCAGCCACATTGCCTCCTTTCTGGAGCCCGTGATCCTCTCCCCAGCTCACTTGGTTGTTGACAAAATTCAAGTCCAATTTTCTGTAGTTGTAGAGCTGAGGTATTCTTGCTAGCTCATAACCAGGGGCTGTTCTTGACTCTGCAAGATTCCTGGTGGTTCCTCGTGGGCTCAGTATTGACTGCTTAACATTTCGAGGCCAGCAAGAGGCTCTCCCTGTGAATTACTTCACAAATTCCAGTCCCTGTTTGCTTTCACCTATGGAGGTTGTTGTATCTGAAACAGTCTGTGTACTCAACTTAACACTAGGTAAGACTGGCCTTGGACCCCATGGGACTTCATTCCTGTCCTCACGCGGAAGATGGTTTCCAAGCTGCCCTGATGAACGAGGACATCGTGATATTTTCTCTCCCTTTCACTCTGGCCTTCTGAGCTTACCCTGGTGTCTTCTCAATATGACAATACCTATTTTTAAAATCCTGTCTACATACCTCATTACCTTTTTAAAAAAATTATATCTAAATAAATGTGATTCATTATTAATTTTGTCGATCACTTTTGTTTTGTGTTCATCATATCCCCATGCCTTTCTAGGTAAAATGAGTCTAGAGGGAATTAAAGTAGTAGGATAGACTGATAAAAACTTTAAAATGGGTTGGAATTTCTTAGAGTTATAAATGTAGTTTTAACAGCCGTAAGAATCTGAACTATAATTCAGACCAGGGTAGAAATAATTTTTAAAAACAGCATACACAAAAAAGGAATTATTTGATCTCTTGTCTAGTTGGAAAATGGTATGATGGAGGTATGATGCCTCCTCTGATGGGGAACACTTTCTGAGCTGCTTCTACAGCTCCTCTGCCTTTTCCCAAGTTCCGCCTGGTGAGTGTGGACAGAGCTAAAGAGTCAGAAGAAGAACAGCCTCTTCAAAAGCTCTCTCCTCTGATTTTTCAGAACATCTACTAAAAAGGGAGTCTGTGAAAATCTCATCCTCATTATAAATGTATTCCTTGGTGCAACTGTTTAGCGTCTCTATGGCAGCAAATGATTTTCCCCAGTTAGGAAATCAATTCTGAAGGCAACGAGCTCTTTTCTGGGAGAAAAAGCTCAGTTTTGTGGGCAGGAGTGTGACGTCTGACCAGCCTCCTCACAATTAGAACACAGGCTTTGGAGGCAGACAGGGGTTTTGTCCAGCTTTGCCTCTAATGCAGAGGGTGGTATTGATGCTTTCTGTATTTCATCGTCTGTGAAATGGGAACAGTATTTGTGCTGTGCTGTGCTTAGTCACTCAGTCGTGTCCAACTCCTTGTGACCCTATGGACTGTAACTTCTCTGTCCATGGGGATTCTCCAGGCAAGAATGCTGGAGTGGGTTGCCATGCCCTCCTCCAGGGGATCTTCCTGACCCAGGAATTGAAGCTGGGTCTCCCGCATTGCAGGTGGATTCTTTACCAGCTGAGCTACCAGGGAAGCCCTGGAACAGTATCTACTGCCACTTGTCTCATAGAGAACCAGTGGGGCAAGGGAGTCCCTCTCTTTCCGAGATTCTTCCAGTGAGGGAAGCAAACCCATCGTGCAGGGGATTGACCTGGGATGTTGGGGTATCACTACCTCTTGGGGCCTTTGGCAGTCAGGCTGGCATTGTTGTTTGTCGCTTCTTCTTCCTTCTCAGACTGTCTGCCAAGGTCTCATCCTGTGCCCACAGCCAAGCTCCTGAGCAGATTCTAGCTGAATTAAGCTCTCATCATCCCCTTTGCTGTCCCCTACTGTTTGATAATCCTCAAAGCTCAGTGCAGACTTTTGTTGTTAAAAAGGGCCCTTTTCAACAATGGAGATGCAGACATAGAGAACAGACTTTTGGACACAGTGGAAAAAGGAGAGGATGAGCAGAATTGAGTAGTACTGAAACAAACACATTACCATATGCAAGATAGATCCCTAGTGAGAGTTTGCTGTATGATGCAGGGAGCTTAAACCCAGTGCTCTGTGACAACTTAGAGGGGTAGGATAGAGAGGGAGGTGGGAGGGAAGTTCAAGAGGCAGGGGGCATATGTATGTGTGCATGCATGCTAAGTCACTTCAGTCATGTCCAACGCTTTGTGACCCTGTGGAACATAGCCCACCAGTCTCCTCTGTCCATGGGATTCTCCAGGCAAGAATACTGGAATGGGTGGCTGTGCCCTCCTCCAGGAGATCTTCCCGACACAAAGATGGAACCCAAGTCTCTTATGTCTCCTGCGTTGGCAGGCAGTTTCTTTACCACTAGCCCCACCTGGGAAGCCTGGACATATGTATACCTAAGACTGATTCAGAAGATTAAGAAGAGGTGGTAAGAATACACAGAAGAGCTACACAAAAAAGATCTTAATGACCCAGATAACCAGGATGGTGTGATCACTCACCTAGAGCCAGGCATCCTGGAATGAGAAGTCAAGTGGGCCTTAGGAAGCATCACTACAGACAAAGCTAGTGAAGGTGATGGAATCCCAGTTGAGCTATTTCAAGTCCTAAAAGATGATGCGGTGAAAGTGCTGCACTCAATATGCCTGCAAATTTGGAAAACTCAGCAGTGGCCACAGGGCTAGAAAAGGTCAGTTTTCATTCCAATCCCAAAGAAAGACAATGCCAAATAATGCTCTAACTACTGCACAATTGCACTCACAGGCTAGTGAAGTCAAGCTCAAAATTCTCCAAGCAAGATTTCAACAGTACGTAAATCGAGAACTTCCAGATGTTTAATCTGGATTTAGAAAAGACAGAGGACCTAGAGGGCAAATTGTCACCATCTGTTGGATCATAGAAAAAGCAAGAGAGTTCTAGAAAAACATCTGCTTTATCGTCTACACCAAAGTCTTTGACTGTGTGGATCACAACAAACTGGGAAATTCTTCAAAAGATGGGAATACCAGACCACCTGACCTGCTTCCAGAGAAATCTGTATGCAGGTCAAGAAGCAACAGTTAGAGCTGGACATGGAATAATAGACTGGTTCCAAATTGGGAAAGGAGTATGTCAAGGCTGTATATTGTCACCCTGCTTATTTAACTCATATGCAGAGAACATTGTGCAAAACACTGGGATGGATGAAGCACAAGCTGGAATCAAGATTGCAGGGAGAAATATCAATAACCCCAGATATGCAGATGACACTACCGTTATGGCAGAAAGCAAAGAGGAACTAAAGAGCCTCTTGATGAAAGTGAAAGGGGAGTGAAAAATCTGTCTTAAAGCTCAGCATTCAGAAAACTAAGATCATGGCATGTGGTCCCATCACTTCATGGCAAATATATGGAGAAACAGTGGATCAGTCGCTGACTTTATTTTTGTGGGCTCCAAAATCACTGCAGATAGGGACTGCAGCCATGAAATTAAAAGGCACTTGCTCCTTGGAAGAAAAACTATGACCAAACTCGACAGCATATTAAAAAGCAGAGGCATCACTTTGGCAAAAAGGTCCCTCTAGTTAAGGCTATGGTTTTTCCAGTAGTCATGTATGGATGTGAGAATTGGACCATAAAGAAAGCTGACCAATGAAGAATTGATACTTTGGAGCTGTGGTGCTGGAGGAGACTCTTGAGAGTCCCTTAGACTTCAAGGAGATCAAACAAGTCAATCCTAAAGGAAATTAATCCTGAATATTCACTGGAAAGACTGATGCTGAAGTTGAAGCTCCAATTCTTTTGGCCAACTGATGCAAAGAGCTGACTCAGAAAAGACCCTGATGCTGGGAAAGAGTAGGAGCAGGAGGAGAAAGGGACGACAGAGGGTGAAATGGTTGGATGGTATCACCGACTCAATGGACATGAGTTTGAACAAGCTCTTGGAGTTGGTGATGGTCAGGGAAGGCTGGTCTGCTGCAGTCAATGGGGTCGCAAAGAGTGTGACATGACTGAGCAACTGAACTAAACTGAAGGCTGATTCATGTTGATGTGTGGCAAAAGCTGACACCATATTGTAAGGTAATTATCCTCCAATTAAAAATAAATAATTAGAAAAAAGGGTCCTGTTGAGCAGTGAGCCGTCATGGGCTCTTTGGAGAGCTGGCGTCCAGGGTGCTGATGCAGGCACAGTGTCTGCCTGGTGGAGGCAGGGCTTGCACCCTCTCTGGGCTGGGAAATAGTGCAGCTCTTCGTGATGGGGTCTAGGAGTCATTTGGGGGAGGTGCATTCCCATGTTAATTACCACTAAGCTCACTGGGCTTATTCTGGCAGCATGTGAAAATTTCTTTTTGCAAACTGGAAGGTGGACTGGTGGTTTTTCTTATAAAAAGTTTCTCTGTGATGCCATCAGGAAGTGGGCTTCAGGCTTCCTGAGATGGACTGTACAGCAAGAGACAGGCATCTCCCCACATTGCTCAAGGCAATTGGTGAGAACACAAGTTTATTCAGGCACCATTAGGATACCTTTAAGACATTACATTACATTTACGACAACTTTACAGACCTATGGAGTTAGAGCCATGATGGAAGCCCCTATGGAGACCCTGGTTCCCACCAATTCCCTCTCCTAGGCTCACTGACTGACAAAAGGGATGGTCCCCTCACATCCTCCATGATAGCCTCAGCTGCCTATCATGGCCAGACCGCCTGGACTCCCAGAGTGTGTGAGCACCTTGCTGCCGGCTTTTGCAGATAACAGAAATAGCTGTTCAATGCAGGCAGGCCCTCAGGCAGGGCAGTTCTTTGGGAACTTTGAGCCCGAGATGCTCCACGCATGTGCATCCGTGGGAGGAAGTGGGCAGAGCACCAGCAAGAAGGTGATGAGCGCGTGTGTGGCCATGAGCTCAGCAGGTTAGAGAAGGGAAGGGAGCCTTGCCCAGAGGACCGCGATGGCGGCTCTGGTATGCCTGAGATCAAGGGTCTCCATTCTTCCCACCACGGCCCCCCGTGACAGAATGGAAGCTTCTCATGTCATACTACACCTGCAGGTATGCGAGGCCACTTCACCGGCAGACGACAGCAGGTCCTCAAAGGGCTGGCGCATTGGTCCCCAACTGTTTTGGTATCAGGGACTGGTTTAATGGAAAATAGTTTTTCCACAGATGGTGGGGGCGGGGTGATGGCTTTAGGATGATTCTCACAAGGAGTGCGCAACCTGGATCCCTCCCATGCACAGTTCACAGTAGGGTTTGCACTCCTATGAGAATCTAATGCTGCTGCTGATCCAACTGGAGGCGGAACTCAGGCCATAACATGAGCGATGGGGAGCAGCTGCAAACACCGGTGAAGCTTCACTTGCTTCCCTGCTGTGCAGCCCAGCTTCTAACAAGCCACAGATCTGAACTGGCCCGTGGCCTGGGGACGCCTGTGCTAAAAGGACTGGCTGCTTTCAGAGCTCTCCTCTGACTCCTCTTGCCCAGACAACAGTGTGTATATCAATATCCGAATTTATTTCTCCCTCCCCATTCCCAAACCATAAGCTTGTTTTCCATACCTGTAACTCTATTTCTGCTTTGTGTTTAATTTCACTGGTACCATTTTTTTTAAATTCCACATATTAAGTGATATCAGTGATATTTGTCTGTCTCTTTCTGGCTTACTTCACTTAGTATGACAATCTCTGGGTCCACCATGTCACTTCAAATGTCATTATTTCATTCCTTTTTATGACTGAACAGTATTCAGTCACATATACGTACCACATCTTTACTCATTCCGCTGTCAATGGACATTTAGGTTGCTTCCATGTCCTGGCTATCATAAACAGTGTTGCAATGAATATTGGGGGTGCATGTATCTTTTCAAATTATGATTTTCTCTGAACATATGCCCAGGAGTGGGATTGCTAGATCATATGTTTTAGTTATATAAGAACGGTTAGAATTTCCATACTATTCTCCATATCGACTGTACAAATTTACATTCCCACTAAGAGTGTAGGAGGGTTCCCTTTTCTCCACATCCTCTCCAGCATGTATTGTTTGTAGATTTTTTGACAATGGCCATTCTGGCCAGTTTAAGGTGGAAACTCATTGTACTTTAGATTTGCATTTCTCTAATAATGAGTGATGTTGAACGTCTTTTTTTGTGGCTCTTGGCCCGCTGTATATCTTCTTCAGAGAAATGTCTATTTAGATCTTTCCACTCAATTTTTAATTGGGTTTTTTTTTTTAATATTGAGCTGCCTGAGTTGTTTGTATATTTTAGAGATTGATCCCTTGTCAGCTGCTTCTGAGTCTCATTTCAAAACAGGGAATGTTGCCTTCCTGTCATCCACCTAAGGCTGCAGGCAGAATATAAAGCTAGCAGCGTGTCAGTACTCATTAGCAACAGCAGAGATGATCCAACATCAAGGGGAGATTTAAAACCTGCCTCTAAGGGGGAGAGCTTTCAGTCGAGTTAAGCATCTTGCCCGTCACCCCCAGCCACACTGCGGTCACTGCAGTGCCTCTGGGGGCAGCGGCAGCCCGTCCAGTCTGCCCTCAGTCCAGCCTGCCTTCCCCTGGTGGCTGTGCCGAGTCACCTCCCGGAGCTCCAGAGTTGCCCCCGAGGACCCAGGCCTGGTTGAGCTTTAATTGCTTCTCAGCTCTGGGCTGCCTCTGGCCAGTGTCCGCTCTGCCCGGGGCTCTGATCTCTGCCAGGAGCCCCAGCTGTCTCTGTCTGCAGAGTCCCTCCTGGTGCCTCCTCCCTGCTCAGCCAGGACAGTGGGGCAGGGAGGCGGGAGTTGGGGTTGTGTCTCTGCAAACAAGGACAACTGAGATCCAAACAACGGCTGCCCACTCCTATATTCTAGCCTGGAGAATTCCATGGACAGAGGAGCCTGGTGGGCTGCAGTCTGTGCATGCCTGGCAAGCTGCTTCAGTCACGTTTGACTCTTCACTACCCTGTGGACCGCAGCCTGCTGGGTTCCCCTGTCAGCGGGATTCTCCAGGCAAGAATACTGGAGTGGATTGTCACGCCTTCTCCAGGGCGTCTTCCTGACCCGGGGACTGAGCGCACATGTCCTGTGGCTCTCGCAGGCAGGCAGATTCTTCACAGCTGAGCCAACAGGGAAACCCCTGGGGCTACAGTCCATGGGGCTGCAAAGAGTCGGACACAAATGAGCAAATCACTTTCAGTGTCAAAGCTACAGAGCTTACAGCACTAAGAACACTGCAAGGACCATCCTTCTTTATCTAGATTACCCCAGGGTGGGCATTAAAGCTGTTTTAAAGCCGAAATTTGAAAATGTTTAAGCTATTAGGTTGCAAAAACGGTGAGTCTGGGCACAGCTCCAGGCCTCTCCTAATCTGTGCCATGGGAAGGGAATCACAGAGTTTGCATGCTGGCAGACTGAGCAGGAAGTGTGTGGAAAGCCTGGCGTCTGAGTTTGATGACACTGGCCTCTCGGGCGTGGCTTTCCCGCCTTGTGGACGTCAGCCTGAGGGAAGGTTCTAGACCCAGGGGGCACAGGTCAAGGGAGGAGCCTGCAGGATGGGGAAGGCGCCAAGCCTGGACTCCAGGGCAAACCAGCCTTTCTGCTCTTAACCTGAGCTTTGGACTCGTGTCCACCAACTGAGAAATGAGACTCAGCCTGCTGTGGACTGATCGGTGTTCCCCCAGAAATCGGAGGTTGAAGCCCTAAGCCCCAGGTGACGGTACTAGAGGCGGGGCCTTTGGGGGTGACGAGGCCCCAGGGTGGAGTCAGTGGCTTTATCAGACAGGAAGAGAGAAACCGCTGTCCGCCACCCGAGGACCCAGCGTGACGGCGGCTGCCCTATAGCTGGGAAGAGGCCTCCGCAGCTCTGACCTGGGGCTGCAGCCTGCAGACCTGTGTGAGGGAAATTCCTACCGTCTGAGCCCCGTAGCCTGTGGTCTTTCGCCGTCAGCTCCCTCCCCATTGCTCACAGGCCCCAGCGAGGCTGGGTTTTGATCAGTTCTAGAGCACGTCCCGCTTCTTCCGACCTCCCAGCCGTCTTCTGCCTGAACTGCGCCTCCGGAGGGGCGACTCTCCTGAGCTCCTGTGCCGATGCCCCCGGCCCGGCAGCCCTGCTGAGAGGTCCTTGCAGGCAGGATGTGACGAGGGGCCCGCAGCTCGCGTTCTCTCTCGTCCTTTGTCTTGCCTCCTAGCGGATGGGCCCCTCCTGAGGGGGCCCCTGGGACAGGCGCCTCCCGGACAGCGGGCAGGCGGCGGAAGTTTGGCGATGATTGGGGAAAAGGTCTTTTCTCCTCGGAGGCTGGGTCCCTGTGGTGACCTGCTCCCTATAGGTTGCACGTGGGGACGCAGAGCCTGCTGCCCTATAGCGTATGAACTCCTGACCGGGGTCACCCTCGGTACCATCCAGTCTCACGGGTGTCTGTCCAGAGCAGTGTTTTTCTGTTCCTGCCTTCCCAGGGAGCAGCGGGCACCTGGGAGACCCCTTCCCTCCTCTCCTCCTGCTCTTCAATCTCTCCTTCCCACCAAAATGCAAATTCCCACCTCTGCTCCCACAACCCCCTGCTCCCATCCCCTCCTAAACGCTGGATTCAGGTCTGTCCTTGGGAATCCAAGGTTGCTCCAGGCTCTGAGCCACACACAGGACTGGGAAGGAAACCTGGGGCTTGATTTAGGGTGCTTTGTCCCTTTCCACCTTTTTTGTGCATAGGAGATCAGGCTTAAAAGAAAAAATACCAGATTTATCACAGATTATTCCTGAATCACAGAATACATCATTATTTTTCTTTGTATGTTTTTATATTTCCCAAATTTTCACTGAGTCTGTATAATTTTTTTCAGTCACACAAAAATCGAGGTTATTTCTGTACAGAGGCCCTGAAGTTGGAGAGGCTGGATCTTCTAAAAGCAGAATTTTTTTAAAGAGCATTGCTGGCATTAAAAACACAACTTTGAAGGGAAGTTGTTTGGATGTCCCCAGAAGGAGCAAGCAGCCCATATAATAAATAAAAATACAACTTAAGGGCTTTTGTCATCCTCCACAGTAGGTAGGATTCAAACAGCGAGGAAGGGTCTCCAGTCCCCATGGGGCCCCAGGACATGGGAATCCCCCACTGGAAGGGACATCGTTCAGGGTAAAGCATTTTTGCTTCAAGGGGTCACCTCTTGGAGTGGGAGAGACAATGAGTTTTCTTCAATTATTGACATCTTGGTGTCAGGTTTCTCCTTGAAAAAGCTTCCACCAATATGAGCTTCATCAGGGGCCGAAAGGCTCCCTCTGAATCCAGATCTTTGGACAAGCCAGGGCCTTGGGCCTTTCACGCGGGTGAGCAACAGCCTCCCCACTTGCATGACAGTCCTCTGTAGTATGTGTGACACCTCTGTGCCAGAAGCCAATTCAGTGGTGAAAGCAGGAGTTAGACGAAAATTATAAGCGGCTGATAAAAGAAATTAAAGAAGACACAAACAGATGGAAAGATATACCATGTTTGTGAACTGGAAGAGTCAATACTGTAAAAATGGTAATCTAAGGGCTTCCCAGGTCGCTCAGCGGTTAAAAAAAAAAATCTGCCTTCTAAGGTAGGAGATTCAGGTTTGATCCCTGGGTCAGGAAGGCCCCCTGGCGTAGGAAATGGCAACCCACTCCAGTACTCTTGCCCGGAAAAATCCCCTGGACAGAGGAAGCTGGTGGGCCACAGTCCATGGGGCCACAAAGAGTTGGACATGACTGAGTGACTGACCACACATGCACCCATGGCAATCTGCAGATTCAATGCAATCCTTGTCAAATTATCAACAACATTTCCACAGAACTAGAACAAAACTTCTCAAATTTGTATGGAGACATAAAAGACCCTGAATAGCCAAAGCAAGCTTGAGAAACAAAAATGGAGCTGGAGGAATCAGGCTTCTTGACCTCAGACTATACTACAAAGCTATAATCAATACAAAATAAAAAGTTAAGAAAATAAAATAAATGACCATATACTCAACATCAAAAAGGAAGGGCATTAGGAAGAAGAAACAGGGAAATCTTTAATTTAAAATTTAAAGGAAAGATGGGAAAATAAACCCTGTACATTTTCAGCCCATGCTAAACACCACCTGTGCATTTCCTAGGATGAGGGGATCTCCCATCTTAAACCACAGCCCAGGATGGACTTCAATACAGGTAAATGGATACAGCACATCTGTGGCTTGTGGTCCATCCTGTCACCTTTGCCCAGCATGTTTGTTCCAGCATTTCCCCTCCAGCAGCATCTGGGTTGAGGCATTACACTTTCTTGTCTTGTCTCTTTAGCCTTTAAACTGTCTTTAGCCTCTGGCACATTTCCAGTCTTCCCCCATTCTCCCCATCACCCCCATCTTTCATTAGAACATCCCTCATCTGGGCTTCACCTAATAGTTCCTTGTGATGAGATTCACATCAGGCATCTCTCCACACTTATGCTGGCCCTTGGGATTTGCCCCGTGGGTGAATGATCAGTCAATGCATTGATGGTTGGCATGGGTTCTTTTGAATCCTATCTTCCCGAGGTTTGTAATTCATTGCTGCCCTGAGTTGCTATGATGCTCCCATTGGTGACCCAGGCCAGGCTAGCTGATATCCTTCAAGTTGACTCCATGTCCTGGTGACATGCCCCATACAGCCTTTGCTGGAGTATTCCTTATTTACTGGCAGAATCAGCTGCTCTGTTCCAGGCTCATTCCTCTTGGCTTCAACCTGGAATCCACCATTTCTCCAGGAGCCCTGCTTCCCTTAGACACTGAGACTGAGTCCTAAGGGTGTCTATGCTGCTGGAGGGGAGTGTGTTTTTTTCTTGATCTCCTGGTGGACGAAGCTGGCCCCTCCAAGTACAGTCCACAGTCTTTCTCCGTGTGTGTGTATCCTGTCCTTCGAAACAGGACCCTAGCTCTATCACCCCTCAATCACCCACTTGCTCTGTCCTATGATACATTGAACATCATTTCAGGATGGTTTACCTGCACAGCAAAAGCTAACAAGAGTGAGGAACTCTTTGCAATTCTCCCCCTGCCCCTGCCATACACTCTACAGAGACTGGGAGAAATGAGACAACAAATTAAATAGTTACAGTACAAATTAAATAGTTACAGTAAGAAATACATTGCATAAATTACCATTAGGGAAACTGTGTTCAGAAACAGTGAGTCCAGGGTATCCTAGACCACCAGGTCATTCTCTTCTTTTCCATCTCCGGGCTGCCTCAAATCATATTTTTAATGAGATTTTCATTGAGTTTCAAATCAGTGTTACAGCTTAGAGAGCAGTGAGTAAAAACATGAACAGAATGAAATTACAAAGTGGAGACTATAATGCTCATTGGCTGCTGAAATCAGATTTTACTACTGTACTGATTTGTTTTCAGGAGGCAGAAGATATAGTATATGCCCTTATTTTGAAATTGATATAAAATGTTAACAAACTTTCAGGGGGCGGGGTAGAGGATCCTTTTTCAATGAATGTCCTGTTGCCCAATAAAGTTTATCTTTTCCTTTGGGCAATAAAAAAATGATACAACTGAAATGTAAGCATTCCTACAAAATCATTCCTATTCTGATACTAATTCACAAAGAATTGAAGCAAGCAATTGGAGAACTCTGGGGAGACTGAGGTGTGGTGTGATGAGGGGTCTGTTTCCCTTGGGTGATGGACCCACATGGAGGTTCTTCATGGAGAAAGCTCTTTGCTTTGCAACAGGAAACCTGGTGCCCAAACGCACTGCTGTTGCTGCCTTCTCCTGGGACATGTACAGTCCCACGGGCACTGCTGCTGGAACTGGGTCTCTGAGACCAGTGCTGTCACATGGGTCTGTGTCCTTGCCGGCACCACCTGTGCAGTTCTCAGGCCCGGGCAATGACCTAATGTTTGCTGTCCTCTCCATGTGTCCCACACCGCTTGCCTACCTTGAGTCTGAAAGGATTCTAGAAGATTGTCAGATGCAGTCATAACAGCATGATCTTCTGGAATCACCCAGATTTAGCAAATAAGCCGTCATTTCATAGAACAAGGCTTGCTTTGCACGTTTTCATGACGCTGATTTATCTCCAGCAGGTATGTTTTCTAACTTGAGGCTCTGATTTCAGTTGAGAGGTGATCTCTTGTCATCAATATTGACCACAAGCACGAAACTCTACATGAAACCCACAGGAGGGTTTTGATCAGGAAATGCTTGAGCAGACTTTTCTAGAAGGTAGGTGTATGGCTCACCCCCACCATCCATCTCTCCAGCTATGTATCCCACTATTCCATCACAGCAACGTATATTACATATTACATTCCCAGCAGCAGTACACAGGGTTCCAATTTCTCCACATGAAAGACTTTTAAAAATATAAGATCATCTCTTCAACTCCCCATACGATAATTTTCTCCCTCTCTCTTTTTCAACAATAGGTGTATTAAAAGCACCTATACTGATATTTCGTTTGCTTTCTATCCTGGCATATCAGCTTTCCTATAATATTCAGTGAGACTAAATAAAAATTTCAAATGGTGCTTTGGACTATGCTGATGAAAGTTAAACAAGGCTGATGGTAGAGACAGGTCATGAAGTGATGTGTACACAAACCAGGAGGGTCTGGCTCATACCCTGCAGGGATTCTCTGAGAGACCCGAGATGTTCTACGGGACCCCATATGGTGCTTCCCTCTGAGAGTCTGGAAACAGAGTCAAATAAATAATAACCAACTCACATCCTTTATTACCATGTCACTGATTCTCAAAACTTCTATGGACTGAAGAATGTTCTTGTCACATAGTGTTGTAAGCAGATCCTCAGCGTGTAAACAGGGGGAAGAGCGGCTGAGCTGACTCCCGAGGACGTGCAGCGACGTGGGTGGGAGATCCTCCCAGGCCCTCACTCTTTGTCCTCCCCGAGGAATGTCTCCAGAATGTGACTTGCAAATGAATACTCTACATCCAGGGTTGGCAGAGTGTGGCCCATGAGCGAAAGCTGGCCCACAGTCTGCTTTTGTAGACTAAAATTCTTGGAACACAAGGTGCCTAGAGGTGACACCGTCCCCGACTTTCTTGGTGCAGGGGCAGCACTGAGCCCTCCAGCGGAGGCCACGTTGCCCACAAAGCCTGGAACATCTGCTCTCTGACCTTTACAGGGAAGGCTTGCCAAGCTCCTTTCTAGAGTTTAGCTCGACTGACAGAGAGACAAGGACAGCT